GGATGATGCTCATGATGCTCGGCCATTGGGCGTGTTCTTTTACGTGTTCTTTTGTGTTCTTTTATTTGTTTAAAAGAACGCCGAAATTTGGCCGAAATTTGGGGAGAGGAGGGGGGCCCCAAACCCGGCTGATGCTCATGATGCTGGTTTCTTCGCAAAAGAAGTGGCGCAGCTGATGCCAAAAGGCCCCAGACGGGGGAGGGGGTACGGGAGTACGGGGGCTGTGGGGGGTACGGGGCGTACGCCGGGTACGGGCGGTTTTGGGGAGTCAGGCAGGGGTGTTTGGGGGTACGGGGTACGGGGCGGTCCGGAGTACAGGGGGCAGGGGGCGGTACGGGGTACGGGTTGTACGGGGGGGACCCTGCGGCCGCACAAACCAGGAACAAGGACGTGCAAAAAGAGTTTCCGACAGCTTGAAAGTGGGCTTCTAGCCGGGGCTGGGGTACACAGGGGTACGCGTACAGTACGTACGCCTTTTTTCGCCTTTGGTACGCTTATTTACGCCTTTGGGTACGGGCATTTCGGCCTTTGGGTTTTTGGGAGGAACCAGCCCAAACCAGCCCAACACGCATCAGCCCACCCGAAATTGCAAAACCCTTGCCTAAACTGCCTCGATACTGTCTTGGAAGGCTCAGAAGCACTTTGGGACACGTGGCCGCCACAGCAAAGGTATTTGCAACCCTCGCGCACCCCTCACATACCGAATTGCATCCACAAGCTTCGCATCGTGCCATAGATCGTCGAAGCCCAGGCTATCGAACAGCTCAGCCACGTCGCGACCTCCAGCCTCTGATCGGCAGGTATAATAGAGTGTCGAACCATTGGTGGGTTTCTGGGTTTAGGGAATTAGGGTACAGGGGTTAGGGTTCAGGGTCAGGGTTTAGGGTATAGAGCAGGACCCACTGTATGTACCGATGTATGCAACCTCCGAACCATACACCCGTAACATAGAAAGACTAACCGAATCCTTCTGTCGTTATTTTCTGTATTAATTCATATATTACAAACTATTATATTGTATCATGTATACACAAGCCCTATACAAGTTTAGAATAGTTTCGTAGTTCCATATTCCCGTCGAAACACACTAATTTTATGCACTATGGAGTCTGAATAATATATTTTACAACTCAGCTCGCACATTATCTGTATATAGCCTTAAGACCTCTTGGGGTTGTATGGGACGGAGGGTTAGTAGAATAATCCCTTCGTGCACCGTCGAGTGCCCGTGTCCTCCGTACGTGACACAAAGCCAGTACAAACTTGATGTCATCCGCGAATTTAAAGCAAGCACTGGACGTTTCCAAGAGGACTCTTCAACACGACCCCCGGAACCTCAAAAACCTGAGAAAAGTCCCACGAACCGCGCTACTATGCATGGGTGCTGACGAGCCACAGATGGCACTGAGCTCTTCCCGGTCAAGAGCAGAGGCTTGAATTGCAGGATAGCATTGGCGAACTTGTAGGTGTAGGTCCTTGAGAGGCTGTGTTAAATGATCAGCTGCAACTGTGCATGCATGCATGCATGGCTTTTCTTAGTCCAAGGCTCTGCGTAGACTTCAGATGCTTGCTTCCAGTCCAGACCAAACGACCAGTTCCGTCTACGTATCGCTTGCTTGTTTTGGTTTTAGATTTCTTCATCTCCGAACGAGCGAGACGGCCCAAATCGAATCGCCTGATCTCCAAAGAATTGGAGTATACGGTACTCCTTTTTGGGGTTGCTGAGCCCCAGTGCTGCATCCAAAAGTTTTGTTGCCAAACCTCGGCCAAGGGTTCACTTGATGCACTGGTAGGTTACATCATGTATATGTAGCAGGAAGATTTATGCATGCACGGAACGAGTATTGCTGTCCAGTTACATTGATGCAGCCATACCAGGACTCTACCATGTAATTTAAGCGGTCATGTTTCATCAATAACGACGTTACAGGCTGCTCCACCAGGAACGTTCCGCCGCATGCGACCACCACGTAGATCACAAGGGCGGTTCTCGCGAGCAACAACGAAACTTTGCAAAGTAACACCCTGGCCCTGTATGTCTCTCTTTGCTCTCACTCTCTCTCATGCCCAAACACGATAGTTTGTACGTTAGGCTCATGAGCAGAATCAGTCACCAAGGTATGCCTCTACTGGCCACTGCTTCGCACTCTCTCGCTCTCTGCAGCTGGGCAGCTGCTGCTTCCTGGCGTGTAAAGGGCCTATAGGGGTCTATAGGATAGGGGTCTATAGGATTGAATTGAGATATTGTATGAACTAGGGTTCTATACAAACATTCGCAACACAAGCTTGCAGAAGACTTCTACGAGGTATAGGAAGGTGAGAGACATGCAGATACAACGGAGAAAGCTCGACCAGAGACAGGGAGAGCGAGCGAGGGAGGGAGGGAGGGAGGGTAGTATAAGCAGAGCAAAATTGGAAACCGGACCCCGAAGCCTGTCGAAACAAAATTATAGGTACACCAGCCCTGCCTTGATGCCAGCAGATTAGCTACCGAAACTTTCTCGTACTCCTCGAAGCCCATTGGTGTAAGTTCGGAACGTTTCGTGCTTCCACGAGAGGCGAGGACAAATGAGGAGCAGCATACTGCAATCACAGCCAGGAAGGCGTCACGGCGACCACGAAGTATCAGCAGGATGCACAACCTTGCACGACGGCTCATGCAAACCGATCTCCACTTTAGGGTGGCCCGTAAGCATGATATTCACCAGTTGCGACCAAAGAACACAAATCCTGAAGGTGTTGTCAAATCCATCGAACCCTTCTTAGACAATGGTGCATCGTATTGAAGATCCACAGCCGCAGCACGCTGGCCGGCTCGACGAAATCGCTTCGTGACTTCACCCACGCCAGCGAAAACTTCGATAAGATCATATTGGCGCCCAGGCTCATCAAGCTTTGCTTCGGGAAGCCAGGAGATCAATAAAACAAGAAGAACCAGGGCCTGATCCGATAAGGAGATATATAATATGTAATATAATAGCGAGAGTGAGAAAGAAAGAGAAGAGAGTGAGAGAGAGAGAGCGAGAGCGAGAGAATGAGATTTGAGGCCAAATTATATGTTGAGCAAGCATCTGTACTGCATGCATTGGTTGACACCTGGTATGTCACGTGGAATTTTGACTAGAGTGCAGGAAAGAGTCTTTGGGTGCGCGTAAGCCAATGAGTCTCCGGACCACAAGGTCCATGTCCCAAGAATTCACCATTGGAGTGGCACTGCAGGCAGTGCAATGAATATACTATAGAACCATCTATTGGGGTGAGAAACTGTGGTCAGTTTGTATATATATAGGGCTTTAACGAGTTTGAGGTTGTGAGTTCAGGGTTTAGACTCAGAATTGATGCATGCACACTACAATTTGGCATCGAGCTTACACTAGCCTGGCGCGTGCACACTCAGTACAGAGCCAATGACATTGCGAAGCATCAACAATGTGCAACCAGTATCCATGCACTCACTGCGGCAGCCTGTCTATACTGGGACGAACGTGTTAAATTTGCATTGCACGGGGGGCCACGGCACCTGGATCTGTCGCCGAGGCCAAACCATATTTCATCGCCGCCGCTGAAGGAGGCATCGTGTAACCTGGGCCGCCGATTGGCTTAACATGTCTTTAGGATTTAAATTAGGGAATTAGGGTTTCAGGGTTCGGGGTTTGTATATATAAGGGTTTATATAATATAAACAAGGTTGCGGGGAAAGTTAGGCTACTACTCTAGTCAGCTCTGCAATGCAAACTGGTTGTGTGCACTCTGGCTGTATACCTGCGATTCCATAGAGTGCATGCATGCACATCGTATTTTCGGCCTGCGTCCCTGCAAGCAGCATCTTGCCACACGATTTCGAGGGCGCCGAGAATTTGGCACTGTGCTGATTCTACGGTTAAACCACAGTCAGCAGGAATGCATGGGCCCATATCATCCTTTTCGAAGCTATGGAGCTTGCTTTTATAATCAGCTGGGGTCTAAGGTTTGGGAAATCAGAACCCCTACTCACACATTGTATACAAAACCCGATAACTCGAAAGATTACAGACAGTACTCAGTCTCCGTTGGCGGACTTCCTGGGCATTTTAATTGCACAGACAAAAGCGAATGTCTTCGCCGGCTCAGCCAGCATCTATACTGCAAATTAAAGACTGCATGCTGTCGATCAAGAAATGCTTCGCAAGAACTCGGCTTTGATCCTGTTCATTGCCTCCAACAGGGGCGGGGTGACACATGCCTCGGCATCGTCCAGAAGTTTGGCCTGGGCAAACGGAGAATTGTAGATGCGAGATTGCAATATTTAAAGTATACATAGTAGTATTGCACTCAGAATGAGACGGCTTTGGCTGCAACCATAATCAATGTAGCAATCGGGACTTTCGTCGTGGCCACATAGAGAACCTGATGGAGAAAGAGCATAGCATACATGGTATGTAAGTTCCCTATTCTAGCCGAGGTATTGAAGGTCCCGCCTGCTTCCCTTTGTCTTCCCCAAGCTTGCATTTTACGCCTACACCCGCCCGAGTCCAGTACACCGACAGCTCTGCGTGCTTGTAGGTGGGCACCGGCGGCCGATCAGCCTTCACCTTGCCGCGCTTCGAGGCAACTTCCTCGTGGGCTTGTGCCTTGCGCTTGCTGCCACTGCTAGGTTCCTCATCAAGGGCGCTCCTGTCCTCACCATCCTCGGCCTTTTTCCCAGTCCCTTTTCCTTTGGTTTTCGGCTTCCGTCCGGCACTGCTGCTAGCTGCGCCCTCATCACCGGTGCTCCTCGCCTTCCCATTCTTGGCCTTTTTGCCTTTTCCTTTACCTTTGGTCTTCGGCTTGTCTTCCTTGCTGCTGCTATCCTTGATGCCGGTCTCATCCTCATCAGCGAGCGGTGCTTTCTGCTCCCCATCCTTGGCCTTTTTGCTTGTTCCTTTTCCTTTGGGCTTGGTGTTGTCCTTAATGCTGCTGCTTGCTGTGCCGCTGCCACTCACATCCTCAGTAGCAATGGTCCTCTCCTCCCCATCTTTGGCCTGTTTACCATCTGCTTTAGCCTTAGTCTTGGGATCCTTGTTGGTCTTGGGTGGCTCAGAGGTCCCGCACCGGCCCCGGCCCCGCCCACGCCCTCCACGCCCCGATCCTCTGCCACGCCGGGACGTGGTTTTCTCCTCGTCCGGCTTTCCAGCCCCGTTCTTCGTTGCCTGCTGGTCTTGCTGCGCTTTCAAGAGGATAGCCTGTCGGTTTATAATAACAGCATAGGGTTGTAATTTAATTAGGGTTGGTCAGGGTTTGGGGGTTTGGAACTTAAGAAGGTTTGGATCCAGGCTTTATAGGGCTATAGGGCACTGGTAAATAACTTGCCTCACCCAAGTACTTCTGAAGCTTTGTACTTGCGTCCTCCCGACTGCATGGAGCCCGGGAAGCTTCGCTACCTTTATCCTCCATGCTGTTCTCAGCATCCTTGCTTGCTTTCAGACGCAAAGCCTCTGGGGCAGGTATGTGCAGGATCTATAAAGGGATTATAGTAGGGTTGCATGATATGTTAATGCTGGCATACAATTCAAGAAAACCTTGCACTCTGAAACCCAGACCTCAGCCAAGATCTGCTTCACCTCGGCTCTTGCCTTGGGTGGCAACTCAACCTGACCTTGCTCCTCCACAGGCGGTGGCCGAAGTGGCTCCGGCGCCTCATGCAACTCGGCAGCTTCCGCGACAGGGGGCTCGGCAGCAAGAGGGTTCGAAGCTGCGGGGGGAAGCGGCTTTCGGGATGCAGCAAGTTCCCCAAGACCCTCGTCGTCTGAATCTTGGATCTCCATGTAGTTTGTCGTCAAGGCTTCAGCCGTACCATCAGCATCGTAGGTTTGCGTTTCCACATTGTCCATCAAGATGCCTTAATTCGCGGCCATCATTATATAAGAGTACTAAGCAGCTGCAAACAAAGCCCAATCCCACGTCTGAGTAAGTGCTCGCATGCTTTCCCCCATGTTCTGGCGAAACATACATTGCTAGTTGACATATAGAACATACACAAGCTGCAGATGAGAAGCCTTTGGAGTCTTTGGAGATGGCAACACCAGCCTCACGATCCTTTCGGGCCTGCTGTTCTCTCCTTATGTAGGACATATCTGTGAAGCGCAACATGTCTTCTGCAGAACAATGCACGTGTGTTACATGAATGGCGCTTCGAGTGATGCAGTCCAGTGTCTTCAGCTTTGCATACATCGCGGTCAAGATTTGCAATCGAGTAGGGGGTGGTGCATCAATCTTCGGGCAGGAGTCCTGTCTTGCAACAGCTGCAGCGTTCAGTCGCTTCGGGGAGGGTGTAGCCTCAATCTCAATGATGCCGTCAGGCTCTGAACGAGGCTGTCCAACTGCAGCGGCCGGGGTCTCGGGGACGATCAGTACTTCCTCCCTTCCCTCCTCCTCTTCATGTGCCTCATCCGCTTCACCCCTTGCATCATCGACCATCTCCAATTCGCCTGCTTTCCTTTCAACATCAGCACATACTCCGCCCGCTTCATCCCCTCCTGCATCCTCCCCCATCTCCACTACCGCCGCCTCTTCCTGTGTCTCTTCTTCTTCATTTTCCTCTTCCTGCGGCTCCTCTTCCTCAATTCCTCCCTCCTCCTGCTCCTCGTCTGCGTTCTCGGGCTCCAAGGCAGGAGCTGCCCAAGCTACCGGCTCCTCCCCACCCTCTTCCTCCCCATCCTCTGCATCCAACAACTGATCATAGTCTTCATCATCTCGAAGCTCGTTTCCCGCATCATCCTTACATGTGCATGCGTGTGCAAGACTTGGAACGTGTACAGACACAAACATGATGCATGTGTGCATGCATGCATGGCATACAACATGTTCAGAAAAGTGGCACGTAGAGGAGCATCTAGCTCATGCAACCTCGCGGGGTCCCAGGCCAGAAGCAACTCCCGCTTGAGCTGCCGGAGATCCCCATCCTGGGCTATAGGCGCTTTGGGGCTTGAATGCTATACAATTTGTTTTTGAGGCACAAGGCATCAGCATGCATGCGTCATTTATGTGTTGTCGAGTTTCTGGGCTTCGGCTCCTTGAGGGAAGCCTGCGAATGAACTGGCTGATCATTTTTCGCAGACCCCAAGTATCACAATAGATTTGGATCTTGTTGTACGGCTTGTTCAGGAGGTCCCAAAACTTGCGAACCTGCCGGGGCCATGGATCGAAACCTTTAAAGAAACTACCCTCTATCCCACGAAATCAAGAACCACAGCATGGAGCCTCCTTCCTCACAGCAGACATTGCCGGCGTTCGCGGCGAGGTGCATGCATTTGCCCATATATGGAACATGGGCTGAAGCACAGAGTAGTTCAGCTTGGCATTTTGCATCGAAGGGACACCTGTTGAACTTGGAGACTTCCAAACCAAAAGCTTGCCCTCGAAAACAAATCTGCGCCGAATCCCTTCGTCAGCTTCCCACATCTCAGCCAGCCCCGCAAGTGAGGCTTTTGGGATTTTGCCAGCCATGGCAGCTGCAAGTGAACAGGTCTTGACTCGACAAGTGGCCCAAATGGCTAGGATTCGCAGAAATTAGGTGTTGGCATGAACACTCCCAACATCATACTGCCTTCTGTAAGCGAATCAGATCCGTTCTTTAAGAACCAGCCAGGGCCCCAACCAGTCCAGACCAGTGTTCAGCTGACCCAGCAGTCGACGAACCTGATGAGAGACGGCCCATAAAGGGCTTCTATAGGGTTTATGAGCTTTGTATATAGGTTACTGCAATGGTCAGTTCGAGGAATTATACGGCAAAAGGGTGTAATGTAGGGGCCTTAAGAATTAGAATAGGGTTTTGGGGGTTCCTTACTATAATTATAAGGAAAATTTACCCCAAACCCCAGACTAATTATTAAGGCCCCTATATGAGACGATATATACCTGCATGCTACATCCATGTTGGTTTCTATGCGAGCTAGACGATTCCCTGCACTAGGGCTCGATCGTGCGGTCCATCTGCAGCTGCGCCCGAGGCCGGCCGGCCTTCCAAAGCAGTCGTTGTGTCGATTCAGTTATTGGGATCTGAGGTTTCGTCAACTCAACCTCTACAGCTGAATTGGCAGAATGCGGTTCTCCAGTTCATCTGTCGGGCCTTGTTGAGGCATGGGAAGGCAAGGCACGTAGAGGATCAAGTCGATATAGCCACCAAGCCTGCATGCACGTGCGTACTACTGTTCATGCATGCAAAACACATCCTAGATATTATACCATCGACAGATCTGCATGCGGCTGGAGGTGTCCTGTATCGCATGCTCCATATGCATAACAGAGGCTACTCGGCCTGAGACCGAACTTTGTGACGTCGAAGTACCAGGCATATCGAAGTAGAAGACGTTGTGCACCTGGCCAGGGAGGAGGGAGGCGTGTGCACATATTATGCATGTGCATCACTTGCTTCATGGACTGTTTCCATCCTGCCCTCGCAGTCTCATAAGGACATGCCGAGTTTTCGTCGGACGCACATGTGCAAGCCTGTCAGCATGATGATACTTTGGACATGCAAGCATACCTAATAATGTATAGGATTGCGAGCTTGCGTTCAACTGGTTCTTTGGCCAGCTTGCACATGGTTTCTGCATGCATGTGCATGATCACCCAGAACGGAGCTTCTTCTCAGGCGGCGCTTGCTCTATGTCAGATGACGACGATGCCGACGAATACATCTCAGTTCGGTCCGCAGCAAGACCCCGCCCACATACATCCGAACCAAAACCTAAACCCCAGAGACCCCTGTATAAGAACCCCGTACATGAGCTAATATCATCCGATAACAAAACGTCACATGCAGACCCATGCACTGTACTTTGTATACTATGCAACCCTACCATCATGAACCCTACAAGCTATCCTGAGGAATTCCAGAAAAGTCGTGCCCTCTGAAAAACAGCTATACATCCTCAAACTTCATAGGGCTTTGGGATGTAGGGCAGTGCGTTTTATCTGGTTACTGTAGTTAATAGTGGACTACCCTGTGTTGTACTGCACGCTCAAGCCCAACAGAACCCATCTGTGTCACCGAGAGTCGTGGGATGCATCATTGCCGCCTGGGCGAAAAGAAAGGAAGAACTGTTTTGGATTACGGTTTAGGGTTTATAGGGGGTTAGGTTTTTTAGGGGTCTACGGCCTATGGTTTTGGGTTTAGGGACTGGAGATGTCACCAACAGTTTGTAGCCTAGTTGCTAGAGCTTCGCTTCACATACAGCCCGGCCAAGTGCTTTGCAACGCCATTGGACGAGAAGTTGGAGCAAACGGTGTTCACCATGTCTGCCGTGAGCTCCTGTCCCAGGGTTTGGGGTGAAATTGTGCATCACATATATGCCTGGAATGATATGAGAAAGGCCTTCTCATCATGGGGGTCTTGGAACATCACCGCTTTCACATCGATCCAGAACTGCTCCGGCAGGACATGCAGACCTGCGCGGCGTGCGGGTTTTGTTCACTACAGACAGCATCTTAAAGATTCAGGATTGGCAGACCATAAGGCTACTTCCCCCGCCTAAACGTTCAACTTTCACTTCAATCTGACCATGATTCTTCAGCACACGCTGCAGCATGGCAGGGAAAACACGGGCCAGAAAGACACTTATATGCATGAGCTTCGTGGCCACGGATTTCGGTCACCCAAACTGCTCTGCATGCGAAGGAAATCAGTGCATGCTTGCTTGCATTGCAGGCATGTTCCCAGGCAAAAAAAAAGCGAGCCAGGTGGGCCCACTGGGTCGCCATGACCATGATGATCGGCAGCACAGGTTCATGCACACACACACACACGAGCCACTACAGAGTTGCATGCTTGCAAATCTATTATTAAGGGAAAAGTGAGCAGTCCGAAGTTTAACACAACTCCAAATTGCCTGCGATACACCTGTAACACTCATGCTGGGATCTCCCATGTGCGGTCAGGCCTGAGCCTCTCGACTCGGGACGACAGAAACACATATCAGCCTTCGAGATCTTCGCTGAAAGCCTTGAAACCCGTTTCAGCCTTTGCAGAAGCTTACAACACTCATTTCAGGTATGAAGGCTATTTTTAAGCCGAAGGCTGAAATGCATAGTAAATGCCCCCACGATCAGCCAAGGCTGATATTTCAGGTCGAAAAGGTTTAGCAGGTATATATATATATTTATTTGTTTATTTGTTTGTATATTTATGTATTTATTTAGAATCCTATAAGGTACTCCTTTCCCTAAACCCCTAAACCCCTAAACCCTAAACCTCTAAACCCTAAACCCCTAAACCCTAAACCCCTAAACCCCGAACCCCTAAACCCCTAAACCCTAAACCGTGGAGCCTATGGGTAGGCACAGAGGGAGGAGCTGGCAGAGCCTTATGACGGCGGACCTGGAGACAGGGTTCAGGATTTATAGGGTTTATTAGGCTTCTAAACCCTAAAACCCTAAACCCTATTGGGTTTGGAGACAATCGGCAAGGTCTCAAATGCGAAGTTCTTCGGGCTCTCGGTGTAGCAGTATAGGGTTTAGGGTTAGGGTATAGGGTTTAGGATTTAGGGGTTTATAGGGGCTTATATTCTTTGGGCACATGGGCCTGTAGAGTAAGTACCTCCAAGCTCCACCGTAGTTCCTTATTGTGGTGTAAAATACATTTAGGATCCTAAAAGGTAATCCCCAGAAAAAGGAACTACGGTGGAGCGGGTAAAGCCTTGCAAAACGGCAAGCCCTGAGCCCTAAGGCCCTAAACCCGACCCCTAAACCCTAGACCCTAAGCCATAAGCCTTAAGTCCTCACCCTTAGGGTCTAAGTACCCAGTTATCATATATTTTTTAAACTAACTTATGAGCCCAAGTCCTAATTATTGGCTCCTTTGGACTTTCAACGTCAGCTCCTTTAACCTTGCAACGTTCATTTCCTAACAGTGGCCTGATTCCAGCCTTTGAAAAAAAGGAGATTAAAAGCTGATGAGAAGCTGGAACAAAGGCAAAATAAAGCTGATCTGGTGGTGGATGAAAAGCTGAAAGAAAGCTAAACAAAAGCTGGACAAAAGGAAACCCTGAGCCATCCATAAACAAGAGCTGCATGGAATATTAGCGTTAGGACGACCGTGCTCTGGACACACAGCTACACGTTAGTTTTAAAAAAAGCTGAGTATAAGCCAACAAAAGCTAACTGAGTGGTCAATCTGGACAGCGATCAAAGCCAGAAGAAAGCTAAATAAAAGCTAAACCCAAAGCTAAACAAAAGCTGAATAAAAGCTATTCCAAAAGTGTGTT